CCCCAAAACCCCAAAACCCCAAAACCCCGAGCCACACATATTTTATAGCCCAGCATTATTAACTATAATTCAAATTTAAATTTAAAATGCAAAATATTATCAGGCAATCAATCGGGGGAGTGAAAAATATACTTGGAAACATAGTTACTTTTGTCACTGGCAATAACGACGAAAGCAATGACTAAGACTCCTATGCTAGTTCTTGTGAAGAAATTGATTGCAAATCAGATTGCAGCTAATGTGACTCAAACAACAGATCAATATCAATGGTTTCCTCTAAAAATTCTCACACCAATCATGGACTCAGAAATGATGATGAGGACAAAGAGAACATGCCAAACTAGTCAACTAAGAGGAGAAAGCATAATCATAACTTGAAGAATGATTCACAAGACTGCAAGCACATCTTTTTGTCTAATGATAGACAATCAAATCTGTCTAACTTGCTAAGAGAACTAAACTAATCCTCAGATAACCAACAGACTGAAAATATACTTTAGGAAGTCACGAATCAGAACAAGCAAAGTAAGTTAAAAGTCTTAATCTTAAAGTATTCACTATAGTTATATCTAGTTCTAAAAAGAGAAAATTTGACATGATATCCTCAAGTAATGAATAAGGAAAAAATAAACCGCAAGCCTATAGGATAAAACCATCAGGACAGCCTTTCAATATTTATGAAAAAGAAAATGAACAGCTTAGATTTAAAGCTCAACCCCTTTAAAACCTTTCAACAATGAATATTTTTTCACAAAATAGTGATCAATAAGTCTAGCAACTTTAACAAAACTTTGAGAATATTTGGCTTACTCAATCATTTGATGTTTAGTATATGAGTGACGTCAAAGATAAACTCAAACTCAAGTCACTAAAAATTGCCTTTATAAATAAGTTTGATAATCTCAAAAAGCAAAAGGAAGGTAGCATGAATTAGACAATCGGAAGTTTAAATGTTCAATAATCAGCCTTTCTAAAGTAAAAATATGACTATCAAGGAAGCTAGAATTAAATTTAAGTAATCAGCTTAGATGAAATGTAATCTTCAAAGATGAATATATGGAAGGCTTACGAGAATATCGTTGAGTTCTATTTCGTAAAATCAAATTAATTTTATCTAGAAGAAAATTCAAACATATTTAACGACTCAATGATGAGTTCAAAAGATCCTGATTATTTCAATTTTTCACAATCTATTAATGCAAATAAAAACTACATTGAATGTCTACTCAAATCCATATGCTAAATTCACTATAGCAAACAATTTTATCATAAACATGATGATGAAAAGGTATTGATTAGAAACAAGAATGCAGGCTACTAACTTACTCAGTCTTAGTTAAGTAGATTACTTTAAAATAAGAAATTTGACGAAGGCCTATATAATGCTTATATGAGACTCATTAATTTCAGGACGAACCTTCTAGGTGAAAAAACCATAATCTGTTTAGATACCTTATAATACTCAATAATTGATAATTACTTGAAGAAGGACCAAGTCCATGGCAAAGAGCTAAAGATATTATAATTGCTTAGGGCAAAAGTATTCAATTTTTTGGCAGTTCCAATTTTCAATAAAGCATCCAATAGTTTAATTATCTTTGATACAAAAATCAAAGAAGTCTTCCTGCTTCATGATGGTGGCTTTAGTTAAGAAGAAATTTCCTCTATATTTGGATAAATTTAAAGAATTCTGATTTTATCTGGAGAGTCAAGTAAATGGGTTGAAAATCTGTACCATTTTAACTAAACTTAATAAATTCATTAGGACTATGATCCATTACTCTCCCTATGCATAACGATTGAAAATTTAGCCTTAGTATCAGATGTAAAGAATCTTTTAGTATTAGATTTTGAATTCATTGAAGTTACTAGAAGAAAAGTCTTGATTGAATTAATTTTTGGAAAGATCCTCACACAAGTCAACTGAATCATAAATTACGAATTCTATATTTTTAGCTTGATATTAATTTTACTTTATATGAATTACAAAAATTTATTTCAATTTGATCCATGGGGTTTTGGGGTTTTGGGGTTTTGGGG